GAACCAAGTACTGAGTACATATGCATGCTTATACTTTTCAGAGGTCTGATTTTGTTCTATGTACGATCCTTGTTTTATCGATTGCATTGTAATATTGTAATTTTCTGAGATTGTGGATTTGGGGTTTTCATGAGCTGTAGGCCATAATCATCACAATTATGACAAATCATGGCTTGAACTATCTTGCTTTGCATGTAATGAGTCTATCTTATATATAAGTTTCACCTTTTAAGTTGCATTACTGAAATAAAAGAACTTTTGCACAATATTCTAATGTTTCAAGTTTCACCTGTAGAATCATGTCGGGAGAAGTCAAGATTCTATCATTGAATATAAATGGTCTAAATTGGCCCAGAAAAGGAAAACAACCTTCAATAAATTAAAATGTCTGAATTACGATATAATTGCATTGCAAGAGGTCCATATAACTAAACAACAGATCCAGACCTTGGAATATCCTAGATTGGGTAAACTTTACATGGCATTAGCTGATCAAAAGAAAAGAGGAAAACGTTATATGTTAAAGAAACGATCAATACTAAACTAATTTATCATGATGAGGAAGGGAGAATATGAATTGTAGAAATAATGTTAAACCCAAAAAAGTTGTTACTGGTTGTAAGATGTGCACCTAATGAAGGTCAGGAAAGTTTTTATTATAGACTACATAGCATTATTCGAGCATTGCGAAACGAAAATGTTTGTTTAATGGGAGATTTCAATGCTATAGTTGACCAGAAATGGGACTATAAAAGTGGAAAGAAGAGAAAAGGAGTTAGGAGAATTTTGCCCAGGGCGTTCTTCCAAATGGCCAAAGAATTAAATATCTATGGCATATGTCGAGAAAGATATCCAGAGGGAGAGCAATATACCTTCTACTCGAATAGACATGAATCCTGGTCAAGGATAGATATGGTCTGGATGTCGAGGGAGTTAATTTCGGAAGTGAAGGAGATAGACATAGAACCCAATCTATGGGCTGACCACAATCCCATGAGGATTACATGGAAAAAACAAAAGGACAGTTATCGTTGGTTATTCAATCGAACAATCCTAAAAGTTCAGGAATATATTAAAAGAGTCAATCAGGAACTGAGATTTTTCTTCAAAGAAAACTGGCCAGGAGACACATCCATACAAAACCTATGGGATACAACTAAGGCATTTATAAAAGGTGTCACGATATCGGCTAGAGCCGAGGTGGCGCAATGGTTAAATGCAGCACTGCAGGCTACTTCAGCTGACTGCAGTTCTGCAGTT